CGCCCTGCCCCCCCCTTCCCGGTGCTTCCTTTCCCCCCCGCCCCCCGCCGGCAGCCGCAGCCCGAGCCGCCTCTCCTCACCGGCGCGTACCCGCCACCACCCAGACGCGCGGCCCCGCACTCCGAGCCCCGCCCCAGGCTCCACGCCACGCCGATCCGCCCCCGCGCGTCCGCCCTGGGCCACGCCTCTAGTCCCGCCCCGGGCTGTAGTCGGGTTCTGAGTGGCTGAAAAACGCTACGGAGGTCCGTTGGGTGACCACACTTGCTTCCGGGGCGTGTCCAACCCTGCGTAAGGCTGGTCCTGAAGGAAAGTTGGGGTCTCGCAGCTGGACAGACTGTAGTGGGTCAGTGGTCACTTGTTCCAAAGAACAAACATGGCTAGGGAGGGAAGAGCTGATTCCCAGGGTGTCTTGGCGCCCCTTGCTCCCTGCTGTAGCCGAGGGTTCAGACTACAAATCCCGGCCTGCAAGGAGACCTGGAGCGCCAGGAGGAGGGCCAGGGTGGGAGTGAGGTATGCTGGGTACTGTAGTAGAGTCGTCTCCATGGTTCGCTAAGCGCTCATCGCCAGTGGATGGCGATTAGGGTTTGGCACTTGGGGATTGCTATGGGAGCAGAACGCTTCTGTGTCGAAGGACTTGGTGTTGGCAAGTCCATTTCAACCCTAAAAACAAGCCCCTGAGATGCAGAGTTCGTTCTTCACAAACCAGTGTTTGCAGAATCCAAAGGGAATTTATCTTCTTGCCTTTAGATTCCCACAACTTCTGAAGAGAATTGGGAGACTTTCCTCGGCAGCATGGATGTTAAATCTTAACAAGGAAATATTCCTCTGTAATTGATCCTCTCATGAAGTAATTTGTGCAAGGTCCTCCAGCATATTCTTCACAAGTCAGAACTAGAACTTGGGTCTTTTTGCTTTGACTTCATTACCAATTGCCTCTATGGAAAATAAATTGTGATAATGTGGTGGAACTGAGGGGTCTGATCCATTGATTACTTTGATTATTCATATAAGGTCTGCCCTAGCCTACGCAGGCCTTGTGTAGACACATTTTCTGCAGAGAAGTCTGTCGGGGATACTTTTTTTTTAAGTAGGTAGTAGCATTTTGCAGATGAACGTTCAGACTTTTTTTTTTTTGGTCGTGGGGCCTGAACTCTGGGCCTGGACGCTGTCCCTCAGCTCTTCAGCTCAAGGATAAAGCTCTACGCTTGAGCTACAGCACCACTTCCGGCTTTCTCTGCTTATGCGGTGCTGAGGAATCGAACCCAGGGCCTCATGCATGCTTGGCAAGCGCTCTACCACTGAGCCACCTTCCTAGCCCAGATATTTTTTTTTATTAATGAAAAACTTTACAGAAAATAAGTATTAATGTACAATTTGTACCTTTTTGTGTGGTGATATTGGGATTTGCACTTCAGGCCTCCTGCTTGCTAGGCAGGCACTATACTTCTAGAGCCACACCTGGAGCCCTCACAGTGTGTGTGTGTGTGTCGGTCCTTGGGGTGTGTGTGGGGGGGGGGGGGTCCTTGGGCTTGAATTCAGGGACTGTACATTGTCCATCTCTGAGCTTTTTATCTCAAAGTTAGCACTCTACTACTTGAGTCACAGCTTCACTTCCGGCTTCTTGGTGAGTAATTAGAGATAAGTGTCTCCTGGATTTTCCTGCTGGCTTCAAATCGAAATCCTTAGATCTCAGCCTCCTAAGTAGCTAGGATTACAAGTGTGAATCATTGGCGCTGGATAGTGAAAAAATATTTTTTGTTGTTGGTCGAGGTGCTTGAACTCAGGTGTGGGCACTGTCCCTGAGCTTTATCGTTCAAGGTTAGCGCTATATCATTTTAAGCCACAGCACCACTTCCTGTTTTCTGGTAGTTAATTGGAGATAAGAACCTCACAGACTTGCTGAGCACTAGTGGCTCACTCCTGTAACCCTTGCTACTCAGGAGGCTGAGATCTGAGCATCGTGGTTCAAAGCAAGCTTGGGCAGGAAAGTCCGTGAGAATCTTATCTCCAATAAACCGCTCAGAAAACCGGAAGTGGCACTGTGGCTCCGGTGGTAGAGCGCTCGCCTTCAGCTGAAGAGCTGAGGGACAGCACCCAGGCCCAGAGTTCAAGCCCCACCACCGACCAAAAAAAAAAAAAAAATCTCACAGGCTTTACTGCCCAGCCTGCCTTCGACCACAGTCTTCAGGACTACAGGCATGAGCCACTGGCACCCGGCAAAAATATTTCTTTAAAATAAGGCAGTAGGCTGTGGGACATGGCACAAGTAAGTGGTAGAATGCGGAATTCAAACCCCAGTAACACCAAAACAATTAATACTATAACTAATATATAAAACCTAATATATAATACATAAAATAATATAATATAAAATCTATATGTCCTTCCAAGTGTTTTCTTAAACACTAGGTGTATACATCTAAAGAGACAGTTTGTTCTGCATTTTTAGGAGCAATGGTAGATGACTATAATCCTAACACTGATAAGGCCAAGGCAGAATTTTTAGTCCATGGACAGCCTGTGATACATAGTGAAACTCTGTTTTTGTTTGTTTGTTTTGTTGATTAGTTTAATTTCTAAGAAAAAACATTATTGAAAGGGGCTTCTGTGGTATTTTATTTTAACCAGATACCAAGTCTCAGTTTCACTAAAGGTTGAAAAAATGTATAGATACTTGGTCTTATTGCCTATTTAATATAGTTCATTCTACACTCCCTTTACTCTCACAACTGGGAGAATATGAGACTTTAGGCAAAGAACTGAATAGATGATCCAGAGTGCCTTGGTTTTGATATGTCCCAAGGATGTAAAAAAAAAAAAAAAAAACAGACAAATTGAAAAACAATGTAGTGACAGTTGGGTGGGCAGCATTTCTGAGATATTAACTCTGATTTGAGTTGGTGTTTTATATAAAGTCTTTTGATTTTCCTTACTGAAAAGTTTTTACGTTTTCTTACTTGCAACACAAGTATTTCTCCAGTGCTCAGCATCTAACTACTTTTGGCATCTGCAGTAGATTAGTAGATTAATATAAAGTATCTCCAAGGATTTCAGTTCTTTTGGAAAGGCTTATCAATATTTTTCTTGATAACTAGCTAGCATTTGCTTACTTTTAAAATATGTATGTTAGCAAGCACTGGTGGGTCACACTTGTAACGCTACATACTCAGAGGCTGAGTCCTGAGGATCATAGTTCAAAGCCAGCCCAGGCAGGAAATTTCAGGTAGAAAAGCCCTTGAAACTCATCTCCAGTTAACCACCAGAAAAGCAGAAGTGGTACTGTGGTTCACAGTGGTAGAGTACTAGCCTAAGTGTATAGCTTCTCCTAAATGGATAGCTTAGTTCAAGAGACAGAAAGAATTGTAAAGTTAATAAGTGCTAATTGTGTAACTGTGTAATACAATGAATGATCTTAACAGTGGGAAGAGCATTGTGGACCTGGCTTTCCAAGCATAAGATAATCACCAAGAGGACCTTGAAAGATAATTGAGTTTGAACAGGAAAGAAAATGCCCAGGCAGAAGTGGGGAAACAAGGATGAAGGCAGGAAAGCAGTTTAAAGTACAACTCTATAAATGTGCAGGAATCTCAAAAGTAGACTAAACTCTAGAGAATAATGAATGCCTGATTAAAGATTTGAGCCTGATACTGCAGACAGTATCAGAGCCAACCTTAGATTATGAAAATGAGAAATATAGTAATCTGTCCATTTTTGTATCATTTGTGAAAGAGATAGGAGTGAGGGATACCTGGTAACAAAACATGAAGTAACCAAAGCTGAAATTGAGGCCCTACAAGTACAAAGATACCAATGGAGGTGGAAAAGATTTTAAAAAAACTCAGAGAACTAATGACTGTCTTAGGGACAAGGGAGGGGCTGGGAAGGTGGCTCAGTGGTAGAGTGCTTGCCTTGCACACATAAGGACCTGGGTTCATTCCTAAGCACACATAAGCAGAAAAGGCCAGCAGTGGCGCTGTGGCTCAAGTGGTAGAGTACTAGCCTTGAGTTGAAGAGCTGAGGGACAGTGCCCAGGCCCAGAGTTCAAGCCCCACAACCAGCAAAAAAAAAAAAAAATTTAAGTTAGGGACAGAGGGTTAGTGGTAGAACACTTGTGTAACTTCCATGAGACCTCTGGGTTCAATCTTCAGCAAAACACATAGTGATTGAAATTACCAATCAGATAAAAACTGACAAGACACAGGCTATTGATAGTAGGGGAAAATGGACAAGAGAATTTACCATGGCATCTTTGAAGGGCAGCTTGGCAATATATCAAAATTTAAAAGTCATATGTGCTTTGACCAATTTGCTCTTAAAAGAACTTTCCCTGTAGATACATACTTACAGCTATCTATAAATCTGTGTGTTTATTGTGCCTTCTATGTAGTGGCAAGACTAGAAGCAGTGTACCTATCAAAAGAGCACTGATTAAAAAATGAAAACACATGTATAGGATGAAGCTAAATGAAGCCATTTTAAAAAAGGAAAACAAGCTGGAGCTCAGGTGGCTCACACCTGTAATTGTAGCTACTCAGGACGTCAGGAGACCTATTCAGGAGATCTGAGATCTGAGAATAGCTATTGGAAGCCAACAGGGCAGGAAAGTCTGTGAGACTCTTACTCCAATTA